GGGTTAAGGAATGAGGAGGATACACTGCCGATGGATTTGCAGTGCGTTTATCAACGGCCCAGAAAGTTCCCGAGAGAGTTTCTCGAACCGAGTCTCAGCAGCGAGTTACTAACCATCCCTCCATCACCGTACGTCGAGGACACTAGACTCTCGGCTTGGAACGAATAGAAAGCTTGGTACAGGAACAGATTCAGAGCTTCTCTTCACGGTTCTGAATCACTGATTACTTCGCCGGCGCCATGGTGGTGACGCGTGATACGCACAAGGGCGTCTCACTGCCACAACCGGCACCGCGGGCCCGGCTATCTGGGTCCCGTTGTTGTTCAGAAGGCCCAATGGCGAACCTTGACTGGCCAACGTTGGTTTCTTAGGCCAATTCTCTTTTCGGCAGGTGCTTGAGGGTCCGGGGAGTAGGCTATGTACATGTAGATCCGCGAAAGCAGCATCAGCCACGCCGGGTCTCCCGAGTCGGGATTTGGTTCACACGTTCCAAGTCTTGCTAGCTGCTCATCGGTCGAGCACGCGAGACGAGTCATCTTCATCTGCCATTTCGAACTACCTAGGGGGGAACCTCGAGACCGGCCGTGATAGATGCGCAGAAAGGGTTTGCAGTTTCCTCGTCGTCGGCATGTGCATGCTTATGCCGCGGGATGCGGCCATGAGGCAGAGGCGGCACGAAACACATGGGAGGTTACGAGCGGACGAAGGAGGGCACAGATCCGCTTACATCACAGCAAAGCTCAACCTGAAACTGAGGCAGCTCGTGGCTAAGTAATACAGTAATAGACGCGGCCGTGGGTGCCGTCGGGTTCGCCTCATGAAACGGAGCACTGGTATCCTTCAGAATGGGCAAAACAACGGGCGCCACGCACACGTGCGGTGGCTTCCGTGCCGCCATCTCATTAGCGCCACAAAAATAAGGGGCCAGCAACTTCAATCCTTAGTACACGGCTTTTGTTGTCGGCAAGTATTAAAAAACATTGGGTAGGATGCATGGCAGCGCTTCCTGCTTTGTCATCATGTCCATAGGAAACACGACGGCAATTGGCCGACGGACGGCCGACACTAATGAACGCCGCACCGTTTCAACGGCCCGCGATCGCCGGCCAATGACAAAATGAAGAGAAGATACAGTAGGTGATATCGAGCTTCAACCTCAAGGGATAGCTTCAGAAAAGTCTCATCATCGTTGGGGCAATAGGCAGCAGGGATAAAATGTTGAACGTTCGTCAGGGGTGGCCTTATCCACGGTGAGGTTGTTGTCAATTTGTCTATCGGGTCGGAACTGTGAGCAGTCAGCCGTTTGACAATCTTGCCCTGTCGACGGGCTGGGTTCATGTTCGCTCGAAAAATGATGCTCTCCTAGGGAAAACCGCCGACGGCAGATTTCCCATTTTAGGTTTGGGATTAGATGAGCTTGGCGGTGCGGGACTGGCTGGCCAGAACACACATCAACCGCTTGGGCGGAGGGTTGAAAATCCTCCGGCACGGACACTCGGCCGGCCCGGTGTGCTAGACTTCAACAGTGACGGACCCGCCCAGCCTCGCTTTCCAAGTTGGGATAGCCACCCAAGATATAAAAAAAGCTGAGGACTGTAAACCCAGGGTGTGCATGTCTCCGCTGGCTCTTTGAATGCTGATGATTAGCGAAGAAACAAGAGAAAGGGGGTGTGTTGCCGAGTAGCCTATGGTTTTCGAATTACGGTCCACGGTGAGGAGGCCTGCCCTGAGCGGCCTCCGTTTGGACACTCAAACAACTGACTAGTGGGTGACCGCCAGAGGGAGCGGGGCGTGGTGCGGTCAGCACCTTAATGAGCAGGAAACGTGGCACACCCTAACAGCGCCGTTTCCGCACAGCAGATGCAGCTAGTTCAGCTACAGTGATTATGTAGCCCTACGAGGCCCCTTTCCGGCCTAGTGGAACAGGTTGGTAGCACACCGAATCCGGCGCAGTATTGTACGTATAATGTACAGACAAACCTTTGTGCGCATAGGATTGGCTCGAGGCGGGACCCTTTGGACGTAGCCTCGTTTCGCTACGCTGCGCGAGTTTTGTGATTCCGGCCCGGTGACTTGGGTTCACCGGAAGCCCCGTCTGCCGGTTCCTATTTGAATGTGTCCCCAGCCGCTGAAGGCACAAGTCCAACCGGATAGTTGGAACGTCAGAACGCACTCTTCAGTTCGAGATGGTGTCGAGGGGACAAGCAAGAACGAGCTTTGAGAAATGGATGAGTCTTAGTCTGCTTCAACTGAGACCTGAAGATAGCATGACCAAGGACTTGTACACCGCGGTAACGTGATGCTACATCAGAATCAGCAAACGACTCTAAAGCGGGAAACATTCTGGCAGGAGACGGCACTCCAGCGAACCCACCTTGCTTCATCTCCAAACACGGCGGCCACACTCGATTCTGACATGTTCCGGGTTTCGCAACCGCGAGGACGCTAGTTATGGCCCTTAGCCGCCAAGCTTTCGACGTGTGGGCGCAAGGCTGGGTTGGGACCACGTCGAAATTCCGAGGTGAACGAGAGGTTGCGCGCAGGTTGTGTCGTGCGCAGCCTGTCTCGGGTTACGAGAATCGCCGCGTGATTGGGCAAACCACTCCCGGTATCTGAGCACGATGGAATGATGAAAAGTCCCAGATTGATCGAGATCTGACCGACTGCCCTGGTGAACAGTTGGGTGGACCAATCGTGATTGTTCTCCAAGTCATTTCAAATTGCTATGCAGAAGGGTAGGGCTGAGCTGCAGCAGGCGACGACGCTGCGTTCTCGGGCTTGTGCAGACCCGAAGGATTGGATGATCTGTGACGAACCCGCACCATTGAGAGGTCGAGTAGCCGCAAAAGAAATGGCACGGGAAGCGGGCCGGAGTCGGAGCAAGCAGAAGTCGATCGAAAAACGGCAATTGACATCGGTGATTGGCAGCGTTATGGTAGTAGAGAGTCCAAACCCCAATGAGAATGGAGTTCACTATCGCCGATGTTGGGTCGGATGATGGAGACGAAGCGATGGAGATGAACAACAGGCAGCAAGATTTGTTTCATGGGGACTGGTTCACCCACCAGATCTGCCCCACAAGCAGACCTCCAGGGACGAACGGCCAAGCCCAACGGCAAAACCTTAATTCAAGCGCCGGCGAGCTCGGGAACTTAACCAATCAGCGCAGGGTCTGCGCCTGTCTAAATGTGGCTTGGCGGAGCTCGACTTTACTCAGGTCTTTGCCATACTGCAACTGTACTCGAATACGGCAATAACTCCAGTCTTGACAAGAAGGTTTATCGTCCCGGTATCTCATTTTCGATATGTTCATTCTAGTGGCATCACGGTGAACGTGTAACATCGGTTAGTTACGGCACGGGCTATGCCACTTGGAGGTTTACGAAGAGAAAACAAACCTGGAATGTTTCTCAAAGTTGTGGTTTGGAAAGGCCGCAGAACGTCCCTATCCTACGACTTTATTTGAGGATCCAAAGTCGAAGCTAATCTGGTGAAAACATTGGAGGGGTTCCGGGTTGCTTCATGGCAATGACTGTGGCTTCGGAGTCAGGCCCTGTGTTCCAGGAACACAAAACTCCACTCCGCCCATTCATTTCCGCAAGCGCACCGCGCGGTTTCCATAAACCGACCGTCGAAGACTGAGGTCCCTGCTAAAACCCATGGATTGATGTGGGTTCTGATACGTGAGGCAGGCTCTCAAGGGTCATGAGCGAAGGGTCTATTGATTTGATGCTCAGAGAGCGCAAAGCCGTCCGGATGCCAAGAACCCGGTGAATCCTACTGATCGGCAGCCCTACGACTTGGCCATGTCGAAGACGTGATTGGACCAGAGCGTTTGCCGTTTGGGAATCTGTGTAACTTTGCCGACACGAAGGATTGATTCTGGAACTTTACTCCGTAAGGCCCGGGCCCCTGCACACAGCGAGCCCAGCAGGAGAAAAACGCACGGCTGTGCCGTCGAAATACCGGACACCCGCGGTTAATAGCTGGTGGGTATTGTTGAGTAGGCCAAAGGGCAAAATACATCTTGGTGTAACTAAACGTGCACTGAGCTAAATTTACCCTCACAGCTGCTTGGGCGACAGTTCGTTGCTTTTGCTCCGTTTCGTGCCAATGCACTCCGTTGCTGCCGCAGAGGCGAACTCGTAAATCCAACCACGCAGATCATCACGATATCTTGCGTGAAACTGCGGCTCTCCCTTTGAGCAGCCAGCAGACACCCCTCCGTTTTTATTCCACAGCCATTTCAAGTGGATCATCGAAAATCCTATTCTACATCTCCAAAGGTCGAGATTTCCTGTCGAGAGCGGACACTTGTCGCGACACAGACACGGGGAAGCGAAGCAGCAAACGGAATTTTCCACCATTTCACAGCCACGAGGATGTCAATGACTTGCCCGAAACGATGGCTAACGCTACGTACCCCGCTTGGCTCCCTGCATGAGGCCCTGTCCCGCTCATTGGGAGCGCCGAGTCGCCGACATGACGACCCCTGTAACGGCGGCGTAGCGGGTACCTCAGGCCAGGCTGCAGGATTGCGGCCACATGTACCTCTGTATCCGTACCAGGGTTGGCATTTGCCGTTTTTGTTTTGCGGGACGCAGTTTCGAAGCCAATGCAACGCCGGGCCAGGCGTTGGGTGTGGACGACCTCCACAATGGAACTGACAAGGGGCAAGGGGTGGGGGGGGGGGGGGGGTAGCTTCGAACCCCTACGCCGCCATGTGGGTTCGAAGCACGCCTGATTCCCCAATGTGCGCGAGAACGGCTGCTCAGGATATTTAATCCTGAGAGCCTTCCCGTCTTGCTTCAGGGCTGTGACAGCATCCTGCCGCAGGAACATCCGTCAACGGCGGCCTCGGACCCGAAGGAATCCTTTGCTCCGAGCCTTATATATTCCTCCTCTTCACATACCTCTTACCAGAATCCGGCGTTTCGGTTCTCACCTCATCTTCCTGCAACAGCGGCTCTCACTCAAACAGGGAGACATTAACGCCCGCCATGTTCGCCATGTCGCACCATACCTACGCCTACGCGGCGCCATCAACTCAAGCCCCTACAAGGCATTACTCCAACCACAGCACCAGCAGCGCCTTCAGCAGCTCCGCGAACCCCGACGAGGACTGGACCAAAATCTCGGATCTCGCCGAGCGCAGGAGGATACAGAACCGCATTGCTCAGCGCAACTACCGTAAGTGGCAATCTCGCCCCGAGGAGTCACCAAGAAATTTTGTTGTGGCTGATGTGTCAAAACAGGCAAGAAGCTCAAGAAGCGCTTGGAGGACCTGGAGAGGCGGGCGGGAACCTCGGAGGAGGCTTTGTCATCTGTGAACGAGAAGCCGAGCCCACCAACCAAGACCAAGCGCACACAGACCACCAAGGCGCAGCAGAGGCAGTCACCGCCTGCTCCCGTGAAGCCGGCAATGCAGAGTCAATATACGCCCCCCATGCACCACGACGATGAGTACCTCTTCCCACCATGCTACGACGAGCGCCAGCGGTCGCACAGCCCTCCCATGTTCACCTACTCCACGTATCCGCCCCCGCCCGAGGAGCAGATGATGATACCGCCATTCGGGGCTGTACAGAGTTACCGGCCTATGCCGGCCGAATCCTACCCTGAGTACCTCTCGCCAACGCCAGTTCCAATCCCGGTGGCGCTGCCGTCCATGACGCATTTTAGCGACGCCATAAAGCGGGAGACGGCTTACCCCGGCGCGCCGGTGGACGAGGGTCTGCCGCCCTTCATGAACTACAACAACTACTCTCTCCCGGGCATGGACATGAGCGCTGGCCACGCTTCACCCTACGATCAGTTGCCACATGTGAGTGCCTCATCATCATGCACATCATTTCACCCTCGGACTCGATCCAACCCTTCTCCCGCCAGTCTTGGACACTAGCTGCCGTGGTCGAACCGGGGTGCTGACGGGCATGGAACACACATAGACTCCGCCTCTCTCACAACACTCGTACGACCACTCGGCGGCCTGCTCGGACTCGGGGAGCTACGACGCATACCCAACAACGCCATTGTCTATGCCGGGCTCACCCAGTCTGGTCCAGCACTCGTAGAGAAAGAATCCGAACTCGTGGGTGCATTGGGATACTTAGGATTATACCGCCGCGGGAAGGCACATGATTACATTTCTGGATACATACTACTTTTCGTTAGTTGCCACGGAGATGGAGCGATGCAGCGCTCGTTCCTTGCTGACACGACATACGATGGGCATTTTCACGGAATGGGAATTGGACGCATTTACACATGGGAGGAAGGGCAACTTCGATTGGGGAATGGCGTGAATGGCGTAAGTGTATAAGGGTTTCCCTCTTTTTATTGTCTTTCTCTCCTCGAAGTGCTCGATCAAGAGAGAGATATCGTGCACGAAGACCTCCTTTTCTGTACTTTGCACATCAAAGAGAGGCAAGATCTGATCATTTTGACATATTTGACCAGCTCAGAAATATGTTGCAAAGTACTCGTACATTAGATAGGCCCGTCACCTCTCACGACCACAGCGAAATATACACGACAATGACACCTGAGCTTCCTGCCTTCCGTGCTCTTTCCTCACCCCATCACAGACGAATCTCGCATGTCTGGGAAGTAAGTTCTTAACACGCCAGATAGAGATCTGACAAATCACCCTTTCACCCGGCCGGCCCGCTAGTGCAATTGTCAGCAAGTAGGCTGAACAAGGGAGCCGAGACTGCCGTGTTCTTTGTCGGCAAAGAAGCATTGTAGATAGTTTGGAATCGGATACATAAGGCAATCTGGCTTGCTTGGTATCGGTTTTTTCTTTTCTTCTGAGCAACTACAAAACCCTCGCGAGAACCAGGCCACTTTCCGAGGCTTACGCCAGATGATTCTGTTCCATTCTCTCGGGTTACGTGTTTCTCATGGCTACGCCGCTTTCACAACCTGAAGTGGCGTGTGGGGTTGTTTCGTTTTGTTTCGTTTCGTTTGGGACCTCTCGCACTTCTTGCAGCCGTTCACTCCCACATCAAGTACTACTTTGATACGCCATAATCCAACGGCGATCAGAAATTGGCGTCGGTCACAAGTCAGCCAACCGCAACTTGACACGCCGAGAAGCCCTTTCTCGGTGTCGCCGGTGCGGCAAGCGGCAATCATCCTTTTCCGTGTTGGGGATAATCGCGCGCTTATGCTCGCTTACGGCGCATCGCGAAGCACCTGCTCAACTGGTGCTAGTTCCATGATCGAGGTCGGCGATGTCAAGAGCAGGCCCCCCGTCTTGTGAGTACGACTCCACAGTACGGCGATGCATCTGGAGAATGGCCCCTTTGTGCGACGGGGAATTCTTTCTCGAACGCGCTCCGGTTACGTATCGGAGTTACACTGGCAGAATCTTGAAAGCGCATGTCTGCCAGATTGCTGCCTTGGGGGCTAAGGCAAAATCCAAGACATCGTTCGATTGGGGTTCCATGGATGATTTTACTCTGACCACAAGAAGCAGTACTTCCGTACATCAAGGAAGGTGCGTCTCAACTGCACAACTGCGTGCAGGGTTCCTTGGGGGCCGGAAGTCAACAACGAGGCTGGTGGGAGCACTCAAGAGGTGTGTGTGGCTTGAGCCTGAATTGGACGCCATGGTGCTGAGTGAGATGCTGTTGACTCTCTCATTGTTTTGGTTCATTGAATCTTCAGACGGTCGTCAGTTCCTCGGTTTCAGCCTTATTGAAGTCGGCTTTGCTCTGTTGTTGGCCCGTCCCCCGGCCCCCCTCCCCAATTCCGGTCAAACGTTGCAGGGAGAGGCAGTTGATCCCCCAGTCCCAGCCAGACATACTTCCGTACATTTGTTTGTGATGCGAAAGGATCAGTCCGAAGCCTCGATTGCGCCTTGGAATTGGTCACTGGGGTTCCGGGTCACGGATATTGTCCGACCCGCGGCCTGCCGGTCGGCGGATCTCGGATTCGCCTCCGATCCATAGACTAATCATCTTGCGCATGTTCCACTGCGCAAGCTTTCGAATGCGAGCCATGATGTGAAGTGGCACTACTACTCCCTACCCATCGGTCTTGCTCGACAACTCCTTGAAAATCAGGCCACATTTTGTTGATCCAATTTCTTTTGAGCCGAATAAGGCTTCCCTACTACTCGGATCCGACACAAATACGTAACTGGCAAGGTTTGGCTTCCAGTCGTCAGAACCCCCGTCGAGCTTCAAACCTCCACCAATTCTTCAGCCCCGGACCTCCAGGCACAGGAGAGTTCCCCCAATCCTGCCGGAGCCTTGACCTGTTAGGGTCATGTCCAACGAGCGTTCGATCAGCTTGCAGAGGATCATTTGGCCGCCCAATCACCGCTGCTGTTGGGATAGCAATGTGACGATTGCAGCCGAACCGCACAGTCTGGCAAGTTCAGCCCTACCAAGTACATATGAGCTTGGCTCTTCACGGTGGAGATTCTTGCTTGGGGAGAATCGCTACGGTTCACCAGAGCACTTCCTGGGGCCCCTGAATCTGGTCCAATGCCTCGTCCCTCGCTCGCATACCGGACAGTAAAAAGAGGTTGAGTTCTAGACAAGCACTCAGACCCATTCACGCGATTTGCTGCTTCGGTTCAGTGAACCACTACCGTTCCCAAGTAATGCTAATGGTACGTACTCGTGATTATGTCTCTGGGCCTCCAAAGATCAGAACAACACCCCGGACGAGCAAGTTAAGAATCGAATCCGTGCCCGACCGGGACAGCCCCAGCAAGGTAGCCCAACCGGGTAAAGGGGAAGGAGGTCAGAAGCCCAAGTTCTTCCAGACCCCTCTCAACACCAGCAGCTCCAGCGACTACCGTAGTTCCAGCAGTCAGATTGATGATCCTATGTACCTCGGGTCTTGTCCTCGCTCACTGTTGCTTGCTCGGTCACCTCCCAAGATAACAGTTGTTGGACAGCAAACATATTCCAGCTTTCAGATAACGTTGTGTCCCCATCCCATCTATCACTGTAACCAAGACACAACTTCTGGAATGGATTTCCCTCATCTGGCAGCATCCTCCTCTCTTGGAAATCCTGAAAGATACCGAAAACTTCCCGGCACTTGACCCAGTCCTTCGTCCTTGACTGTCGACAGCACACAAGTCTGGAGTAACCATGCCACAGTGTGACAAGTTGCTAAAGCCTGATAGCATAACAGCCCGATACGGCGCACCTTACAGTTTTGCTTGCGCTAGTTTGTTGATGAGGAAAAGAAGAAGAACAGCAGACAGAGAAGGAAGAAAGGCAAGGAACAAAAATGAACGGAAGGACCGCAGGAAAGAGAGAGAGGAAAGGAGGATGGGGCAGAGAGCCCCATTTGAAGGTTGACACCGGACACTCCAGCCCCAGACATATACGGTAGTCACACCCTCCTACATGTACCGGGAATCAGGGTGTGGCCCTCCTACGTGATTCTCTGCCGATCAACTGGTTTTCTTAGCTTCAAGCAGTTCTGTGATGACTGGCGCATATTTTCCCTGCAAGCCATAGCTTGAGACACAGCCATTGTATGCTGATGGTGGAACGGGATGGTATGAAACCGGCCTCTAAGTGATCTAAAACAGCGAGGTAAACCGAGAACAGGAATGGAAAGCAACTGAAGAGCACTAGTTTTTTTAAATAAACTGTGTCCCGGCCGGCAAGGTCTCGATAGCTGGCATTCAACTCAGTTGAGAAGCGACAAGTCAGCAGACGGCACAGCTTTCGCTCAAGCAACAAGGGGAAGACGGCGAAATCCTCCTGGCCACTATTAAACACCATTTATGAGGGTGTATGTCTTTTCTGCCTTACAGCTATGGGGGCAACTGAAGCGCGTCAGAATGTACTGCCCCAGCTCCTACCAATTACGGATATCACCAACAGCACCTCCCCCGCTAAACTCAAAAAGGCCTGAATCCATAGACACAGAGTTCAGACAAGACAAATATAGCGGCGATAACCCGCAGCTATGATCATTTCACCCACGAGACTAGCTCACAAGTGAACAGCATTGTCCAACAGACCCTCAATGGTCAAAGAGGGGCGCCGAGCTGTCGTGAAAGTAGCCATGCTTACTCCTCATGCTCAATGGGAGCCTCCTCCTCGTACTCCTCCTCTTCCTCATCAACACCAGCATCCTGGTATTGCTGGTACTCCGAGACGAGATCGTTCATGTTGGACTCAGCCTCGGTGAACTCCATCTCGTCCATACCCTCGCCGGTGTACCAGTGCAAGAAAGCCTTGCGACGGAACATAGCAGTGAACTGCTCGCCAATACGCTTGAACAGCTCCTGAATGGCCGTCGAGTTGCCAACGAAGGTAGAGGACATCTTGAGACTGCGCGGCGGGATCGAGCAAAGAGCGGTCTGGACGTTGTTCGGAATCCATTCGACGAAGTAGGACGAGTTCTTGTTCTGGACGTTGCGCATCTGGTCCTCAACCTCCTTCATGGAGACCTTGCCACGGCTGGTACATTTGTTAGCGGGATTTGCTTCCAAAGACAACTCATCGTGCAAGGACTTACAAGATGGCAGAGCAGGTGAGGTAGCGACCGTTGCGGAAGTCGGAAGCAGCCATCATGTTCTTGGGGTCGAACATCTGCTGCGTCAACTCCGGGACGGAGAGGGCACGGAAGGAGTGGGCGCCGCGGGCGGTCAGAGGAGCGAAGCCGACCATGAAGAAGTGGAGACGAGGGAAAGGAACCATGTTAACAGCCAGCTTGCGGAGATCGGAGTTGAGCTGGCCGGGGAAGCGCAGCGAAACGGTGACGCCCGACATGACGGCCGAGACCAGGTAGTTGAGGTCGCCGTACGAGGGGTTGGACAGCTTCAGGGTACGCATGCAAATGTCGTAGAGAGCCTCATTGTCGATGCAGAAGGTCTCATCTGAGTTTTCGACCAGCTGGTGGACCGAGAGGGTGGCGTTGTACGGCTCGACGACGGTATCCGAGACCTTGGGGGAGGGGACGACCGAGAAGGTGGCCATCATGCGGTCGGGGAACTCCTCACGGATCTTGGAGATCAGGAGGGTACCCATACCAGCACCGGTACCGCCACCGAGCGAGTGGGTGATTTGGAAGCCCTGAAGGCAGTCGCAGCCCTCAGCCTCGCGACGGACGACATCAAGGACCTGGTCGACGAGCTCGGCACCCTCAGTGTAGTGGCCCTTGGCCCAGTTGTTGCCAGCACCGGACTGGCCGAAGACGAAGTTGTCAGGGCGGAAGAGCTGACCGAAGGGACCGGCTCGGACGGCATCCATGGTGCCGGGCTCCAGGTCGACCAGGACGGCACGAGGGACATACTTGTTGCCGGAAGCCTGGGTTTCGCTCGTCAGCAAACAGGGGTGCTCCTCGTCGTATTACAGTAAACTGGTATGAGGTCGACATACCTCATTGAAGTAGACGTTCATGCGCTCGAGCTGAAGCTCGGAGGTTCCATTGTACCTGTTGGAGCGGTGAGCGAGGACGTAAATCGATCAGGATTGGCGACAGTCACGTACACGCCATTGCTGTCGAGACCGTGCTCGCCAGAGATGGTCTGCCTATCAAAGATGTCAGCATTAATCGCCTTGGGCTATGAAGGATTTGTTGTTTTCGAGGTCAACCTACCAGAAGGCGGCACCGATTTGGTTACCCTGGGAGCTTCTTGTCAGTCCACCCAAGCACCATCCGATAAGATGTCGAGTCCGAATCGATTCTACTTACGCACTGGCCAGTCTGGAGGTGAACCTGTAGCAAAGAAACAAAGTCAGCATTATGTGCCTTCCATCACGGCAGCGCTGCCATCGCCAGCGGTCGGTCGGGAGCGGGTGGGACGACATCGTCTCTATGTGTGGGGTAATCAGGGGCCCAAAAAAGCTACCCAGACGCGTCGCAGGGTCGCGGCAAAGCGAGGCGGACAACAATACTTACAATCTCACGCATTTTGGCGGTTGTGTTAAAAGCTGGTCTGCAAAGCGATGCAAGCTGCAGGACGAACTGAAGTCGAAGGGAGCGCGAGCTGTGGAAAAGCAGTCGGGTTGGTGGAGAAGTCGGTCGGGAGAGGGAGATTGTTGATTTTTGGGGCGAGAAATGAAAAGGCGAGGATCGTTCACCGCTTGCTGCTGCCAAGTGGAGATCAGGCACCGCCAATCGCAGCAGAAATGGGCAGGTCTGGCTGCCTGTGGTGGTCCCTGCGTCCTCGCTTGTTTACACTAAGGTATCCAAATTAGGGTGGGGGGACAGAGGGTAGCGCGACTCGCTATCCTCGCCAGCTCCAGTCGGCAACGTTAATATGGAAAACACTTCTGGGCAACCTGCAAGTTAAAACTCGACAAACAAGGCCAACGAGATTCCAGAATGTTCAGGGATCGCTTGGAAGTCGATTGTGCCATTAAAGCTGACTCCGGATGTGAAGCCGAGTGATGCTCCCCAGACTCCTGGCTGTGCCTTGTCCTTGGGCCCCGAACTCGGTGCTGAGCTGGTTTTTGTTGCTTTTCCCCATCTCTTGTTCTGGAACTGGCGCCATGCAGACCGGTCTGCCGTTCCTGCGAGGGTATCGTCACGGTCAGCAACCCAGATGAACTTCACATATGGGACAATTCATACGTCTGATAACCGGGACTATTACCCCGTATGGGTTATCCCGTACCATTTAAGTACATGGGTACATTGTATGATAGCGCTGGCAGCCTAATGAGCCTTGACAACACCCGCCGAATCTGCCTGCGCCGAGATCCTCTTCTTGTAAGCCTGCACATCGCCGGGGAATTTCTCGACCGTTCCGTTGTCGCACACCCACAGCGAAGTGCAAACCGTCTGTAGCAGGGTCACGTCGTGAGACACGATCAGCACACCACCCTGAAACTCCTTGAGAGCCTCGGCCAAGGCATCCATGGCCTCGATATCCAAGTGGTTGGACGGCTCGTCCATGACGAGAATGTGGGGGTTGGTAAGAGCCAGGCAGGCGAATGCAACGCGAGACTTCTGACCACCAGACAGCAACTCCATCTTTTGCAGGCCCGTCGTACCCGTGATGCCGAAGGCGCCAAGCTGGCGGCGGTACTCCTCGTCCGTCTTGCCCGGGTACGTCTTGGCCATGAAGCTGACGGCACTGGCGTTGAGGTCGAGGGCATCGACGTGGTGCTGTGCAAAGTAACCGACGCGGAGGCGGGGGTTTTGCGAAATGATGCCGCTGGTCGGCTGGAGCTTGCCAATAAGAAGCTTGAGCACAGTCGTCTTGCCGGCGCCGTTTGGACCGACAATGCCGATGCGCGAGTCCATTTGGACGTCGAGATCGACATTCCTAAGCAGGCTCTTGTCCTTTGAGTAGCCGAAGCTGACGTTGGACATTTGGACGATGGGCGGTGACATTTTCTCGACGTCCGGGAACTTGAAATGCACGCTGTACTCGACCTCGGGAGGCTCGAGCACCGGCATGCGCTCCAGCTTTTTGATACGGGATTGGGCTTCTGACGATTTGGCGGCGTTGTACCGGAACTTGTCAATGAAGGCCTGGAGGTGGGCACGCTGGGCCATCTGGTTCTCGTACTCCCTCTTGGCCGTCTTCTTCCGCTCCTCCTTTGTGGCGTAGAAGGAGTCGAAGTTGGCGCCACGATAGTAGTCGAGGCGCATCGAGTGCTGGTGGATGATGTCGGTTGCGACTTCGTTGAGGAAGGCTCTGTCATGGGACACGACAAGAACGGTGCTCGGATAGCCCTGCAGATAGTTCGAGAGGAAGGTGATTGATGGAACGTCCAACATGTTGGAAGGCTCATCGAGGAGCAGCAGATCAGGTTCACAGAAGAGGGCCCGGGCAAGAGCCAAACGCATTCTCCAACCTCCGGAGAAAGTCTTGGTAGCAAACTGCTGCCGCTCAGGGGAGAAACCCAGGCCAGCCAGGATGCTGGCGGCTCTGGATTCTGCCTTGTCGGATTCCATCTCGGCGAGCTTGGCTTGAATGTCTCCAAGACGTTGATCCTGTGCCTCGCGCTCCTTGTCCAGTTTAGCAGCGTCTGTTGAGGTGTCCGCCATGGACGCTCGCTGAGCCTCGATGTCTGCCAACTTTTGGGTAATTTCCTAGAACACCAGTTAGGGAGGGGTTGATAAGATGAGGTTCCCACATTCGTAGCTTACCGCTTGCTCCTGTAGCAGCACCTTGCGCCAGACATCAGCGTCCAAGACGGCCTGAAGTGCCGGAGTGTCGTCACCAGTAATCTACGGGTTCGTCAGCTGCTGCTGTGGGGGAAGAGAGAATGGAATCACGAACCTCTTGCTCGACGTGCAGAATGGATATGTGCGTCGGGATGGGCACCTCTCTGCGAGACAGAGCCCTGAGTAGAGTTGATTTACCGATACCGTTGTTACCAACGAGACCATAGCGGTGGCCATACGAAAGAGTGAGGGTGGTATCGGTCAAGATCCTCTTCCCTCCGATGGACACGTCAATGTTGTCAATCTTGATATCCTTGGATTTCCCGCCCTGGCTACCCATCTGCAGCGGGTTGACGGCCATGTAGAACTCCTCGTACGACTGGGTTGAGTCTGGCTGATTGAGCAGACGCGAGGCCTCGTACTCGACCGTCTTGAAGGTCTTCTTGTTCTGTTTGGCGGCAATCTTACGCTCGGCCTTCTCAAGCTTCTTCTTGTCGACCTTGGACTCGACCTTCCGGACATTGGCCGACTCGAGGTCAACGGCGCCGGTGGCAACGGCCAACGTCGACGACATGTTCCGCTGAGCGCTCACTTGGATGGTCTGGTCGAGGCGCTTGACGGCCGGGCCCCTCTTCTCCTGGCTGTTGCTGGCGGCGGCATAGCGGTTAACCCATTTCTCAACCAGACTCCGGATTTTGTCATGGGTGGCAGAGCCATAGCTTCCGGATGCCGAGAGTAGCAGCTCCGTGATGGTGGAAGCGGCCTCGTCAAGCGGGGACGGACCGGATGCTTCCTCCTCATCAGCCCATGCGGTGGATGCATGGGTCAGATAGCCGGCTGAGTACTCGGATATCACAGGATCGATGTTCGGAAGCACGGCTCGAATCTCGGCCTCCATGGCGGGTTCCGGGTGGGATGCGTCGTTGTCTCGGTACCAAACTGGGAGTCCAAAACTAGCTGTTCAAGTACCGCTTTGCAATGCACACACACTGATGGAATATTGAATCGGACTTGTTTACACGTTATGCTTCGGTCCAGTCTTACCCGATCGGTACCGTACTTTTTTTGTCGTCGGTTTGGACCTTCAGCAGTGCGGGCATGTGGCGGGACCAAAACGGCCCTTTTGCAGCCGTCGGCATCTGCCAAAACCATTCAAAAAGCGTGCTGATTGGTCAGCGTCAAATGCCCTTCTGCAACAATGACTTTGCCAGATCCCAGCTTCACTTCCAGTCCAACTAACCTCTCCACCTCCACGGAGGCTGGCCTACTGGGGGGCTACGAAAGGGCTCATCAATGCCAAGAGCCCCCAAGTATATGGCCCTGGTTGTTTCCGATGACGAGATCTGGTCACACAATCCCCTGTCGACGTGTGGCACATCGCCAATCGGACCGCGTTACCATCTCAGGCACCAAGTACTCTATATCCAACCAGCTGGGCCCTCCCACCAGACGGCGCACTCTCGGCCACTGGCATTGGCGCGCTTGCCTTACGAATGCCATGATAGATTCAATAATGATTGACAGGCCTCAGTTGGAAAGCGGAAGAAGATCGCATCCGCAAATGCACCTTGGGCGGCGCTGTAGGGTGAGATCGGCCTTTGCTGCGACTTCACTCCTACGTTGTCAGACCAAGAAGATTTTCGGCTTATCCCACAGCACTCGAAATATTCTTCAGCCCTGGCCTTGCTTAACTGCGTGGAATACTCGCTCCCGTGGCTTGGCAAGTGTCAAGGCACCTTTCTCAACAAGCGCTGAAAGCCGACGGAAAGCAATGCGGCCCTGGGCATCGCTAGGTGGCACGGCCCTCTGGCCAGCGACTTGCCTGAACACTGTCTACCGGGAGACCCGGCGTCTGCTGCCATATGGCGCCTATTCACGAGACGCCTCGTCAGCCAATCCATTCTAAACACACAAAGTTGGCTCCTCCCTACCACGGGCAGCAGATTGGCCGAATTCCGGGCTGTCGAGCTCTTGGTTGCGCTCTCTGGGCTCCCGTCATCCATACCTAACCTGGGTTCAGGGCCCAGTGTTTATGCCACTGTGGTCCTGGAATTGGGGCACCCTGGTCACATCAAGCCGGCTCTTGTGTAGCCATTCTTGCCTGGAACTCATCGTGGAAGCTAAATGACCCTGTAGGGATGAAGCTATTCTTGGGTTTCGCGTCTCACAGGGGCAGAAAGGTCAGAGCCGGCTGAGTGTACTGGCCGGGCCACATCTGCTGCAAGCGCACGGATTCTGGAAACATGGTAACTTGCAGCAACACCTCAGCTTGAACCTCTCACCGGGCTGTCAGAAGGCTACCTATCCCTGAGGGCTGAAGTTCTTAACCTGGATAACTCTGGCAGTAATCTTGGTGTCGCACAGGCAACGATCTTGGCCGGGCTTGCTGTGGAGGCGGTCGACCTTGGATTGTTGAACGTCGTTGGCGGGGCCACCGTAATATTGTTGATGCAAAGCGGGATGAGCTTCCCATGCCTGGCCTTGATATCTCACCACTTTACGGCAACCGACTTTTGACGGCTGGATCCCTGTGACACAGGAAGCAATTCATTTATCGTGCACAGTCTGGCAGAGATGTGGGTAACGACGATGCGGCGCAAGCAGCATGCTGCCGGACGCTACCGGGATTGATCAAGTGAGACTGGCGTAATCCGTTGAGTTGGGGTGAGACGGACATCGACAGTTGATCCGACGGTGGCAGTTCAAAGAGGCTGAACGACGGGTTATCGTGAGAAGGCTCCCAAGACAATGCGGCAGGCGTGGTCCGATTTCCAGTCGTTAGTCGTCCCTGGGCGAGAAAGAAGAAAAACTCCCACGGTATCACAAGGCAGCGGTTGGCGACTGGACCCTGAAACAGGCTCAGTGGGAGCTGTGATGGGGGGAGCGGCAATATATGGACAACACCGGGAAGATACCGCGAGCCCCACGCTCTGGACCTCCCCTGAGATCAGACTCTCGTCTTGCCGGACCTATTCCCTCCTGTCCTGGTACCTATCAGGATCTGAAGACGTGGCCTGAAGTCTCTGGGCCAGCATAACAAGACGTATGAGGCATCTATCCGCCTGATCTGCAGCACAGCGCTACACTGCCTCCATGCTTGCCAGCAGTCACTGACTTTCACGTTTATTAATTGGGTGGTAGCGACTGCAGGAACCACGACGCAAGCGCGTCGGGATGCTATATGCATGTAGTACCTGACGTACTGTACTGCGGTTCGGACGCCCGGTGTAACAGCTCTCGGACCGGACACTTGGGAGGAAACCATATGGTGAAGAAAAAACAAAGTGAGTAGAGGCAATGGAATGTTTCGGGTTCTTGTTTTCCTGCATGGCATGAGGATGACAAGCAAGACCTTCCGGGAGGATCTGTGTTCTGAGGGCATCGGTTACAGTTATCCTTGAGGCTTGTCCAAGGCGAACTCTGAGTCTAGCCCCTGTGTCGGTGTCAGGTTAATAAGTACTGGATGCACAAGTTTTGCAGTTCTTCCAACTGGTCCGGTTTGGCACCAGGCAGCTGAGTGCCGTCAAGTGCTTTGTCCTCGACTGTGGTGGTCTTGGACATTTGAGCCCTCTCCCCTTTTTCACTACCCAAACAAGCAATACGGGTGGCCGGGATACCCATTGATCGAGTGAGGGGTTGGTGATGGTTAATCGACTGAGATCCGAAGATCTCTCTCACGTACGAAGTACGCCCCCCGCTGCTCGGATACAGGGGGTTGGCCGAAGTGCGAGTGGGTAAAAAGTAGTTTCCATGAGGGGTGGAATTCTTTGCGAGGCAGTTGAAGTGAACTGGTGAGACCTGCCAGGGGTGTCTCTAATAGCTCTATAGAGCAGTAATGCCTAATCCCGGGGAAGTTGCAGAATATGCGGGACACACTGTACGAAGTCCGTGTCTGTTGAATCAGGTATAGTGAGGTAATATACCTCGATGAACAGGCGCAGAGCTTTGATGTGTCTCTTGTCTGGTTCAGACCGGCTCCAATCCCCAACGAATACGCTGGTCACGCAGAAATTGCTGGCCCCGTGGGACTTTTCTGTCAGTGCCCGTGTTTGGCAGTCGTTGTTCCGGCATTATACATCTGCTGAGCCTGATATAAGCGTGAGAGGCCCCTGTTTCGGAGAGAGGAGACATGGCAAGGGTTGTTACTGTAATAAACACGGAACCGGCAACGACAAATGGAGCACAAAGATGAATGATTGACCGCTTGATACCGGGAGCCTCTTCGACCCTTTTCCCCGACTCGTTTTTCAAGGGGAGATGAGGAAACGACGTCATCTCAACGAGGGAGTGGGAAAGGGCGAGAGAAGAATGGAAATCTAGAAGCGCGCTAGCCAAGAGCATGGCATGTCTGGCGATCGGCTCCGATGCTTTTTTTGGATCTTCTTACGGGGCGGGCAACATCATTCGCCAGTGTACAGTGGATGGCATAAAAAAACGCCCGACGGTCGTTTCTCCCGCAAAACTTACCATCTTCGCTCTCAAATACATAAGGCTTCTATAACTATAGTTTGTACTATACTCTATAGATTTATAGAGTTTTCAATCACCTCTTACTCATTAGCATATTACTATATATAGTTAATATTAGCTATAAGTATAAAACTAAGAAGAATTGAAGTCTAAGTTTAATAATTTGATTAACGTATATTATCAGCGAGTGACCCATATCAGCAAGCGACTCATATCAGCGAGTGACCCAGCTTAACAATTTTAGCAGGGCTACAGGCCAAAATCCGATAAAAAACGATTAGGAGCAATATCAATTTCTTATCATATATTTAGATACAGCCTTGCTAAAATCTTTAAGCTGGGTCACTCGCTAATATGGGTCACTCGCTGATAATACACGTTAATGTTATTTTCTATTTATTATAACTAACCACACTATAGCCTAATATAACTGTGGAAAATCTAAAGGCTTACAGATTTTAAAGAACTTGATATTTTATTGATTCTTAATATTACCTAATGCAACTTTATAGGAACTATCTTCTACTATTTCTTAATAATACTCTAGGATCGAGATAATTATATGCGTTTTGGTGTACTGTGGCTGATTGAAATTGAAGGGTTTTGGCGATTTTAGGTGCGATTTAGACTGTTGGGCATTTTTTGTGTCACCGACTGTAACATTGTCAGATTGTTTCGCATCCTGGAAGTCATGCTACCAACTCCAGTAGCAGCTGTCCATTGGCAATGCTGCATTGCATTGTTCCCAGCCTGGAAGGATGGAGTGGATCGGGCGCCGGCGCGTCATTTTTTAATGCTGCTGAGTACTCCGTATACCTAGATCCATCAGCATCCCCGCGGCCGCGCTGGTTGAAGGAGCGAAGAGTCGAAATAGACAGTCAGGGACACCTCAGCCCGTGCTGTGCGTTGTTCAATCAAGTTTGAAGCATGTCCGGCAAGACTCCAAGTCACAGAAATTGTGCCACGCTGACTAAGGTGCCTTATCAGACGAGGAACCAGCTGGAACTGAGATCAGACGAGCAGGCTGTCGTAGGAGGCGCTGTGTATTGCGGTCACTGTTCGAATATTGGCTTGGGGGCGCTGGATGACTGGCTCTCATCTGGTTTTGACCTTTGGCGGAGCAAATTTTACGGTGATCGTGCCTGCGCTTGTTGTTTATGGTGTCTAGACGGAGCAACCATGCGCCAGCACGCGCGGAAGTGGGACGCAGAGCGTGCATCTCTCATCAAACAGGCACAGCTTGTCGAGATTGGACGATGCCCGCCGTGGATGCGTTGCACCCAAGCAACCATGGGTTTTGTTGACCTGAACTTCATCTCTGGTCACTGGCCTGGGGCGCTTGTTAGCACGGTACGGAAGCGTGGTCAGCATTTCTCCTCTAAGGTACCTTATCAGGCGACCAATCTCCTCTAAGGTCTCGTACAAGTACATTCAGCTGGAAGAACTGGAATATCCTGTTCTGATTTTGATTTCTGCCTCCTAGGTACTGCGCCTTCTATCACTCCGTACCTTCTCCTGTTTCTTTCATCATCCGTTGCGTTTCCAGTTGCTGTTGAATCGAATCCTTGGTTGGGCCGGCCCCTCCGTGGAAGTCCAGCGCTAGCAGCCAGACAATGGGGACCTTGAACCTGGAACCTTGGCAGCAGATTGCAGCCCCGGTCAAGGCGATCCTCAGTCCAAAGGTGCACGGGCGATCCAGGACCAATCCAACCTGGGCTGCCTGGCGTTATCCAGCGAGATCAGGCCCAGGCGACCTCCACCCTTACAGGCCCACTCCAGCGGCAGGGGCCTTGACCTGGGACACCTTCCATGGTTGTTGTCATTGCACCCGTCTCTAGTTTCATTTTGCAGAGTGCGAATGTGGTTTGGCCGGTCGCTGTAACTAACATTCTCCTGTGTCTATTGTTGCTTACCTCTGGCCGCAGTTCCAACCTCTTCCACTCTTTTTGTACCTACTTTGGCCTTCACTTTTCTGCTTTGACGGCGTTGTCAGGGCGGCATCCCCTCCTTTTCAGCTTAGTTTTTTGGCGATGGTCCACTGAATTGCGACTTCCCAGGTCGCGCCTTGGAACAAGCTCTGGCTTGTTTTCCTGGCAAAACAGACGCTGCGTTGCTTCTTCCCCAGATCAGAGAGAGAGAAGGTGTGTGCCCAGGCCAACGGCTGCGGCTCCGTCCCATCTTTTCGCAGCTGATCTACACCCAATTGCAGCTTGTCCGCGAGAACAAAACGGAGACGACTGGCAACCAAGTAGCAACGCCATTGTTGTGGACCGTGTCGCCGAGGACTGGCTGCTGCCCGCAGCGCCGCCGACCGAAACGCCAACGCCGACCTTACCGTGTCCCTCTCCCCCAACATTACCGAACCCGGCCCGTTCGAATTGGTCGGCTGCGTCGAGTTTTTCCCACCGTATTGGAAAGGGCATTCGAGGTCGAGCGTGGTCGCTCGATTCTCCGGTCGGGCGTTCCAAAGCTGCGACTGCAAAACGCGCCTGCAGCGCTTCGCATTCCACAACCCTCGCAGCTCGGCATTTTCTGCCCCGAAAAGTCCCCTTCTCTTTGTGATGCCCTGACGATGCGAATCACGACTCTCACGATTACCGAATTCCCGTTCGCCCCTCTTATCTTCCACGGCTGCTTGCCGTAGACTCAATCGCCCGCGGCCAGGATGCAAGCCGTGCCGAGTGTAAGTCTAAGTTCCCTTGTTGGGCCTTGGGCAGCAACCCAAACCGAGGATACAACGGAAGCTTGGCTGGACTGGATTTGTCCTCTTCCATCCAACACCTGAATAGTCCGGGAAGAATGCCATACGTTCTGCCCTCGAGCATCTTCACATCTCCTCTGGCAGTATGGAGCAGTCCATGTTCTCAAGCGATGCTAACGTTTTGGTCTGCAGCTCGTGGGAACCGGCACTGCTGCCGCCGCCGCAGCCGTCGGTCTCGTCTTTGGGCAGCCTCTCGAGCCCGAGATGCTGTGGTCCAGCCCGATCCAGCATAGATTCCCCGCCGATTACGATGGCTTTCGAGCCCAGCCTGTCCCTCCCCGCCCCAGCACAAGCGCCGCTGCCAATTATTATTCCGGGCCTTCTCCGGCGGAGGACTTCCCCTACTCCTCCTTCCGCCAACTCGCCGACGCAGCTCCCGGGCCTTTGACTTCGCACCCACTAAGTCCGACAAGCCCGACGACTGTGCCACGGCCGCTTACTGGGGTTTCAATCTCGTCGCCCAGATTCAGCAGCAGGAGGCACTCGTTCGTACGCCCAGGCGATCTGGCATCGCAGCCCATAGCGGAGACTGCGAGGGACTCTGTCTCATCAAGAGATTCTTGGATACGGCGACTGTCACTTCGGCCATTGTCACAGCATGGAAGTCGGAGATCGAGCATGGGCCCAGACTCATCGTCTGTAACCCTCTCGCACGGCTCCGGCGTCCCGATGCTCGGTCAATCGCCCAGCTATAATACCGGCCCAAATAAGTTGGTCAAGAGAGCAACGTCCGGGCAAAACGGAGCAGTTGGGGGCATGACACGGCGAAACTCCAAGTCGCAGGTGCTGACTCTCCGAAGACCTGCGACCAGTCACCAGCGGTCCGCCACTTTGCAACAGTTCCACCTCCAAGGTACTTCTGCCGAGCCGCTCTCGCCGGACTTCTCTATTTTCCCGGACAATCACAACCCATCGCCGACCTCGCCAGTTTTCCCGACCGCGGTAGATAATGCTCCACCTTCAGGAAAGTGGACTTCATTCTTCCACGCTCGCCGCTCAACCTCATACGGACGAGAGGTTCCAGGGTTACCACCTGGAAACAGTCCTCTCTATAACATATTTCCCCGGAGGAGGGTGTCCTTAGCGTCGGGCCATGTTTACCGAGCATACCTTACCAAGCCGAGTGATATCATCGATATTTCCGAGCAAAGAGATGGGCCCGGGATGGCCCAAGATCAGGGTGTTATCGAGGAAAAGCAAGGAAGCTCTCACTCTGCCAGCGACCCTTCCGATTCGATCGACTCCACGTCTGATCGGCCTCCGAGGAGATCGCTTTCGATGCATTTCAATTCAGCCAGCCAGTGGATTTCAAGGACCGGAAGTGCCCGGCGTCCCAGGCGGAGTACTATCGACTCAAAACCAGGGGGAGGCCGCTATCTGCCCGAACCTGGCGCTGCGCAGCGTGACCAGACTCAGCCCCCAGTGCAACCGAGACTTGTACAAATTCGTGCGAGTTCTGGACAGCAACCGGATTCGGAATCGAAACCTGCTGACCTGCCGCGAACCCGCAAGAGAAACTCATCGTCTCCCTTGCCACCCTCTAACCGCTTGTCCAGTTTTAACATCGACGTTACGCGCATCGGGCTCCCGACACCTCCCTCAACAGGCCCCTCAAGATCCGTTCATGGTCCCATCAACTACTCGCAAGCCTCTTCTACCACTACCCACAGCCGAGGACCCTCGGGCGAGCGGTCTGCGACTCTTGCCGGCTCGGATGTATCGGCACGTGACGCTGCTTCTGGGGACGATGAGGACACCGACTTCAGGAGCGATGGCATGTATGACTCTTTCCGCACTGGGGCTTCCTCGAGCCGAGTGAGGTCCGTCGAGACGCCGTTAGAGTCCATGTTTGATGACTCGCCCCCTGGCACCGCGAGTAATGGCAGGGCCAAGCGACTGTCGATCCAAGAAATGCTCGGGCGCTCTTGGGATGGCGAAACAAAGATTACTGAGGAAGACGAGGGCATCCCAACCCCAATCAGGCCCGCACATTTCGTTGATGCGGCCGAGTTCGAGCCTCAGGGCCGGCACCCCGATAATTTCAAGTTTGACGCTGCGCACGGCTTGTCCGTGGCCGACAGCCACTTTGGACGATTATCTTTTGACGATGATGACGATGATGACTGGCCACGAGATGACGATAATACCCTTAGCAACCATCTTTCACCCCCGAGCTCGACCAACTCTCGCCGCGTCAGCCCCACATTACGACACGCCCTCCGGAACATCAGTGGCAACGGGAGCCATTGTCTTGGGGGGGACAGCATGAGCGACAGGCCCCGGAGCAACATCTTCGACTGGTCTGAGCCGTCAGCCCATGATAAGTTTGACACCGACATGCCGCGGCCCAAGACGGTACACGGGAAGCAAGAGTTGGACTTGAGGGGAGGCCGTTCCACGAGCCGGAAGTTGCCCGGTGCTGCCCACATCCGAAGCCAGAGTGTGCCAGTTGTCCCTGATCCTACGGATGGCTCGAAACCGGCGCCCAAGTTTGGGACCTGGGGTTTGGGGACCAAGACCGCCAGCGAGGACTGGGATGATGACTTCGAGTTTGATGGGGAAGAAGCAGCGGTTTGCTCGCCTGGAGGCAAGGATTCGGCTACGAGCTTCTCTATGGTGGTCCCTGCTTCCATTCAGGCGACGCAACCAAGCGTGAGAGCCCATTCGGGCCAGATCCGCGAGTTGTCACTGCTCGTCAACGATCTCAAACGGTTATGCCGGCATGGCAAAGAGCTCGATATCCTCCGAGGGCCGATGGCAACAAAGTGGGCAGAGGCGGAGAGCATCATTGCTTTGGCGTCCCCGGACGAGGAAGATGATGATGACCTGAGCTGGGCCAAGTCGTCCATGGATTTGGACCGGTCAAAGGTCGATGATCGCTTCCAAGAAGAAGGATTTGATGGCCCTTTCTTCGACCATACAGATGACCCGTTCGCGTTCCCAGAGCCTGAGATGTCTAAAACAGCTGTGGTGCGGGAGCGGCATAGCCCCCGGCGGCGATCTGTATTTTCGCCTGAAGATGACATCTTTGGCAACTGGCCGCTCACCGAGGGAACGACAACCCCTGCTAGACCGCGTACGCCTAGCAGATGCTCGAGTCCTAGTCGGAACTCCACGATCATCTCCACGGTGATTGAGGCCATGAAGCAGCAACGGAAATCCGCCTCAGACCGGGTCAAGAGCCCGGCGCCCAAGCCCACCCACAACACGGAACTCTTCTTCGACACCAACAGCCTCCAGGAATTGGTCAAGCGAGCCGGACAGCTCCGTGATTCGCTCTCGGACGCCGTCCGCAGGGCGGAGTTGCTGACGCAGAGCCCCGCCGGAACGCCCCGGCGCGAACGGCACTCTCGTCACCAGAACCCTGACGGAAGTCCCGCGTTTACGCGTGTCTTTGTCGAACCGGCTTCGAGCCCGCCGAGACGCCTCCCCAACAGTCACAGCACCACCTCGATCTTGAGCAGAGCATCGGTGGAGTCGCCGCGCATGCAGATGATGACTGTTAGCTGACAGATCAGATGGACGTCGGACTGACACGACAACCCCATCGAGCAAGTTGGGTTTCATTCCTTGTTAGTTCTTTTTCTACAAGAAAAGCACTCGATATCCCAATCCACTGTATATGTACGAATATTTCTCCTCCTAATGTTCACGGGCATGGCTGCTTGCATAACGGAGAGTTGTTGGTCTTTTGAGCAAGAAGAACGTACAGAAGGAAGAACTACGCTTACCTGAACTGTTTTCTTTATTGCATTGCCATGGCATTGTGTGGTCTGGTGTAGCTTCCGGCATGGTTGGCGGGTGACGTTGAAGTGGATTGACTGAAAAAAGGGGTGGCCAAGACAAAGCAAGTCAGTCGAGTGGAAGAGGGAACGAGCTGGTATGCATGCAAGCACACGATGCTGATGAGGTGGAGCAGGTGTGAGGAGAGCCCAATCGATTGTCGGTTGGTTGGCAGAGCTGCTGCTGATGGTTCAGTCGGCTGTTTTCTTCTGGTTTGGGTCTTTTTTCTTTTCTTGAACCCCTTTTCTCTACAAATATCGATCGATGACCGCACTGAACTGGACTTGTGATAATGGCAAGTGGCACAATAAGCATGGCATGGCTTGGTTTATAGCATGGCGCACAATATGTGTGTCTCTGTGTGTATGGACTGCTACTTTCCTTACCTGCTCCCCCTGTTCCCTGTTCTGGTTCTCCTGTTCATGGTGGTTTGCGATGCCTTGGGGGATACACAAAATGCCGACTGTTTCCCTTTTCTCTTATTGACATTTGTACTGTGCTTGGCTTTCTGCCTGGAACATGGAGGACAGAGCACGGGTGATACGGACGATGACAGGGCGAGGGAGCCTTGCGTAAGGTGCCAGTTCGCCAGTGAGGAGGATGTTGAGAGGTTACAAGCATGGCTGCGGTCGGCCTGGGCTGGGCACCTGTCGTGAGACACTGCAATTGGCAGCTTTCTGGTGTTGTCTCTCTGTATGATGTGTTGTTTCATCACTTTCGTTTTCATTCAAGGGTTCTGTCTACTTCGGCACGTTATGCTCCTTTCCGTGTCATTGTCACAGCGCTGGGGTCATTTCACTTAGTAGAGTTCATGTGTTGCTTCCCGGATACGTAAGTAATTAATGATTGTTGATTAGGGCAATATAGGAAAGGATAGAATTCTTAGTGATGAAAATGGGCAGATTTTCAGATGCTTCGGCTGTCAGGATTGTGATGATCTACACGTGTATGTATTTGTTATGGCAAGGCCGCAAGTGACCGAGGCACTTAAATGAGGCAATCTGGTTTGGCTTACTGAATTCGCATCTCATTGCAGACTTGTAGTCGCCTGTACCTGAGCATGAAGGCAGGATGGGACAACATGCTCCATCACACAACCATGTCCTGGAGTGCCTACTCATCGCCAGAATGTCTGGTTCCGGACACATTCAAGGGCGCTTGCTTGGGTGGGTACGTTGGGTAGTAGATACAGATACACTTAAGGGCCATGAGCCGAGAAACGAGGGCTTTGTCCGACACACGGGGCATCGACATGAACTTTTGGCACGGCACAGGGGCAAGCTATTTACGCAAGCATATCCGAACCTAAATAGATAGTTGAATCAAGGCCATTCATCCGCGTCCTACACACACATTGGGAAACAGTGAACGAAAAAATGAAATCTTTTGTACCACCCTAAGCGAATAGAAAGAATACGCTAATCCCAGGCTCAATCATATGACAGCAGGCATCTGAACTAAGACAGGAATGTCACGGAAAGAAGCCCAGGGAAACCCCTCCTCGATGTTGAGCGATCATCGAGGGATATCATGTCATTCCAGAAAGCAAAGCAACCGCAAAGCATCCATGATTTACTCATTTGCACCATGCGCAAGAGCAATGTTCCTCCAATGATCACGCTCAGCCTCGAGCTTCAAAATTTTCTCCTCAAGTTCCTCAAGACGCTGGGCCTTGCGCTCGCGCGACTTGCGGGCAGCAAGAGTGTTGCGGGCGCGCTTCATGGCAACCACATCGCTCGGGTCCTCGACGATGATGGGGGGTAGGGGCTTGTCGCGACGACGGGAGTTAACCCCAGCAATCGAGGACGGACGACTTGAAGGTGGTGAGGCACCAGAGGACTTGCGACGGTGGCCCAATGCCGCTGCAACCTCGAGGTCCTCCGACTTCGAGGCGGGCGACTGTTCAGCGCCGGTAGGCTTCAAAGCAGTCTCTGCGCGGGGCTCAGTCGGAGGGAACAGCGGGAACCAAGCGTCAGTCGAGCCAGTGTCGAAATCGCCGCTTCCAAAACTGGGAGACACATCATAGCAGTCGCCAAACTCGGGCGACTCGTTGTAAATGGACGGCGACGTCAAGGCGGTAAGAGCTGTTGAGTTGGGTGCTGACATGAACGGCTCCTGGATTAGGAGATCCTGCGGCGAAACAGTGCCCATGTTGGTTGTCGAGCTGGAAGCACTGCCGCTCAGGTCGAACACGCTCTGGAGGGCTGGCGAGGAATACGCCGTGGCCGAAGCACCACCCTCAAAGGTGGTGAAGTCGTCCAAGTCAAGATCTGACGTCCGGCGTGAGCGTTGTGATCGCGCCGGCAGGGAGTGCGTGCCAGAGCAGTGCTTACCTTGGATGTTCATCTTGCCTCGTGGTATGTTACCAGTGCTTTGCGAGAACAGGGGGACAGGCGGGCGCGTGGTCCGGTTCTGCTTCTGCGAGTTCAAAGCGACTGATGAGGCGGGGGCAGATGAAGCGTAGAACTGATGCTGGTTCTGCGCAAGGGAGCTAAACCGATTGGTGAATGCCGAAGAAGTCGTTTGGTGCCCAATAGCCTGGATGATGCTAGCAACACGCTGATTCGGCAGAGACGGCGAGGTCGAAATCTGCTGGGGGGACAGCGGCTGGTGACGATGTTGCTGATTCAAATTTACACCTCCGTTGGTGGAAGGTTGCGAGACAGGGCGATTAGGTTGACGGTGTTGCTTGATCGGCTGATCGAACAAGACAAAGTCCTGTTGATTGGGGGGCAGATTCAGGTGCTGAAGTTGCTGTTGATGCGCGGATGGTGCCGGCAGACTCGAGGAACTGGAGGGAAGCCATGTTGACTGATTTGAATCCGTGGTGAAGACTGGAAAGCCTTGGCCGGGAATGGCGGCGGTAATATAAGAAGAACTTGAGCGCGAGCTGGGAAGCAGAGTGCTGAAGTTCAGTTCAACCTTTGCAGGAAGAGCTGAAGGGGTGGGTTGAGAGGGGAGAGAGCTGTTAGAACTTGTGGAAGAAATTTTGACGACCCTGCGGGAGCAAGTCGGGAGACCGGGGAAGGTGGGGTGCTTTAACGCATCTTGATGGATGTCCTCGATGCGTATTGTGTTCTTGTGTGGGAAGTTTTGGGGTTGGAGGAGAGAAAGAGAAAGCAGCGAAAAAGTGGGCGGCGGAAGTCTTTTTAATCAGGCAGCAAAAGTCCGCAGCAAGGCACGGAGCCAGGCGAACTGCCTTCCCAGGTTGCGGCGCCGTTTGATTGGTCGCGTGTCGCGGGCAGCCGCAAACGGAAAGTGTGAGTCACACCTCCCGCGCGTCCCAGTTCCAGAAATCACCCCACACCCACTACTACTTCCCACAATCGCAAATGCAAGGCAGAAGAAACAGTTGCGTTGAGACAATCTCGAGAGCGCGGAACTGGTGGACTTGATTTCAAAGTTCTGGAGATACATTCCATTGCAAATCTTGAGTCTGACCCTCTACCTTCTGCGGACGGCCTTGAGCGTAAACCAGGGTATTTGAAGGTCGATTCGCCTTGCGACCTACCTCTGTGCCTGTTTCGTGGCTTTGGGTTTTCTGTAGCCGTCCGTTTGCCGGAAATCCAGGTTCAGCACTGCCCCACCAATATGTCCCATCTTCGGCAGCTCATCCAATAAGACGAGAATCGAAGAGAGGATCCCCACACGATAATTCCGGCTACGAGGGCATTCGGACGGGCTTACGCCGGCGGCACGGAACAGCCCTCCAAAGGGCGCGACATGTACATACAATGCCAGCTTCAAGCAGGCAGGACATCGGCCGGCTGCGCGCGGCCTTCGAGATTTCGGTGCACAACGGAAACTGGCCACATGGCTTGGAGAGAAGCACAGATCAGGTTCGCCAGACGACAAGGGCGGTCCGGATGGACACGTTCATCGCATCCTTTGATGGAGAGAAGGCCACGAATTCCTAATTTCGGTCGCTCGGTCGCTCGGTCGCTCGGTCGTCGCCATGCCAGCCTCCGCGGCTCCCGTCCTCACTACCTATCGGACACGCAAGATCTTGCGAAGCGAACTTGAACTCCCAGTGTAATTACCGGCTAGTACACATTGATCGTTCTGCGGGCGGGTAACGTTACGGAGGGCCGTGAAAGCCGAAACGCTGCGCGAATATTGGCTCTTCTTCCCATCCGATCCGACCATGTGCCAACGACCAAGGCCAGAATCCTGCTCTTGCATCTCGCTGTGGGCACCCAGACAGTTTCCTGTTCTGAGCCGTCAGCCCTATTCGTACCGGGCACATCGATTGTGCACGGCCTCAGCCACCAGATGTCCAGTTTACGATCGCCATATTTCCCTCGGACAAGCGATTGGTCGCGGAGCACAACAGTCTTCAGCAGTTTTTTGACGGACAGGGTCTCTTTGCATTGTCGAATCAAAAAGCTCAATTGGAAAAGCAGATGTCGATGTTGCAATTGAGTAGTTGACTCAATCGGCCAGACTGACCCACAGCCCTTGGGCACGCTCCTTGGCGTCAGTTTGAGGCATTTGTGCATCGACCAGATATTGGCGTTGTTTGGAAAGGAATCCATCGGTGGCCTGTGGTCTTTGCAATACGAGGCGAGGTAGGGCTGCTTGCAGGGGCGGCTTCTCCAATTCACCAGAGCAACACCGTGAGGAGACTTGGTTGGTGAGTCGGGAGTTACAGTTGGCGTTGGTTTCCGAGCCATGCCGACGCTGACCGGAGCCTGTTCCGGGCCCGTTTCCGGACTCGCGCGACGCACCATGGAGTCCCGAACGGCCCGGTCAAATGTCTCCCGTTCCGGCTTGGTTGCTGTACATGAAAGCAGGGGACTGGCAACGTCTCATGGCTGAAGATGAGGCTTGGACTCGGCATGTGACTGAACCTGCCAATTCAATAACCTTACTGCCGACATTGGCCATACGAGCCTTTACACCAGTAACTCTACCAAATCCCTTATTCCCCAATACCCTGCGTATCATCAGTCCATCCAAAATCAAGCCTGTCCGAGGAACATTTCTGAATACCAACTCCGAATGTTGTACACCATCAATCGAACACAGTCCAGTGCCCTCTCACCAATCTCAGAATCACACATTATACCAAGATACCACACTATAATGTCAACTGTCCGGCGCGCTCCGGGGCGCATCCGTCCGGTTATTGAACCTCTTGCAACGGCGCCCGTTGCTCAGCTCTATCGGCAGGGTGCCTCAGTGATGTCGGCGACGTTGGGTCCAATGTATCTTTCATGATCTCATTCTTCCTCCTGACCGCCTCCCACGTACGGTCGTTGTTCCACGCTGCTTCGACCGCTTCCTTCAACCTGATCAACAGTGTCAGCTCTCCGAAATTTAAGCCGGGACAATCCGGAAACGGTTCAAACGGTCAAAACACACATGACGGGGTCAAGAGAAACTCGGTTGAACTTACCACTCCTTCCACTGATCCGTCCCGGGCATCGCGCCGCTCCTCTCGACCCAAGCGCCATGCTTGGTCTCGCGTATTGCGTACCACAGCGTCCTCGTGAAGCTCGGCGTGCCCTCCCGCGGATTATCCGACGTCGTCTCGTCCGCCCACTTCGCATCCTCGGGCGTGACGTCCCTCACGTCGTACCGCCCCAGATCCCAGAAATATTCCTGTGGCAGCAGCCCCATGAGCCAGTACAGGCCGTTAAGCAGGATGTACGACGAGCCGATAAATACCTGGCTATTCCACATGCAGTTTCCCAGCAGCACCACCGACACCATGAGCAGCACCATGCCCAGCCCCATGAACGCCCGGTGGTATTTCGTACTCACGTACCGGCACTCCTCGGTGCCCGAGTACAACTCGCGCGCAACCTCCTCGGTGCATTTGATGAGTAGAAAGGCGCCTTCGCGCGTGCGGATGACGACGTCGCCGCGGGGCACCTTGTTGGTGGTGCGGCGGTTCATGAGGATCGGCCGCCACAGCGAGGCGTAGCAGACGACGGTTCCGGCGAGCGCGATGCAGGCTATGGCGACGATGGCCGTGCCGTCGTTCCACATGGCAGCCGCTATGATGATGGTGATGGTGAGCAGGAAGGAGAAGATGGATAGGATGTGTACTGGCGAGTAGTACGCGGGCGGGACCGCGTACCGCTCTTCCGAGTTGACCATTGTTGGGTTGGTGAGCATGTCGCTGAACCGCTCGGATAGAGTCTGGGTACGGGGCAGAGGGGTGAGAGGATCGGGTGGAGGTGAAGGTGAGGTCGAGATGGGGACCATGGGGTGTTGACCGCGCTCCGGGTCAGCGTCGGCGTCGGGGGCGACGTGAACATGAGGTCCGCCATTGCTGGCTTCGTCTTCCTCCTTCCTTCTCATACGTCCCCACAGCGTTTGTAAGGCGTCGGTCACTCTCGCAATCAACCTTTTCTTCACGTTGGCACTCACAGCAACTGGCCGCCTCGCCGTTAGGTGCGTATGCTTGATCTCCAACACCTTGAAAGCAAACGGCTTAAGGTCGTCAAGCGGGTGCATGATATTGGCAAAGAACCCCACAGTGTCCAGCACGACGCCCCCGTAAACTCCCGCCATCTTGGCCGTGTACTCGGGCATGCGCTGCGGACGGGCGGGGCGCAGGAGAGCCTGCGGTGCCGGGATGATGCGCGGCAGCAAGCAGAGGGAAGAGGCGGTTAGCGTTTGGGCATGTTCGGCCACCGACGACTCGCCGATGACGGCGAGCAGGGTGATGACATCGAAACGCCAGCCCGGCAGGTCTTGGCGGCCCCAGGGGAACCTGTCTGGTTGTCAGTGGAGGTGGTTTGCTATATGGGAGCGAATGGAGACCTACCATGCGAAGGGACCAGTGGGGCCAGCCTCCTGCTCCGCCATGTCGAGGAAGGAGAGGAGGTGCAAGGAGCGGGGATATAGAATATGTTATTCCCCTGTTGCGGCTCCCCGTCCCTCAGGGGGCTGACTTCGGGACGACGGCTCGTAAGACTCCTGAGCTCCTTCGATTTGTCCGAGAGTCGTCTTGCTGACGGGAGCTCGATCTCTTGGCGCTCGCTGGCGTTGCAATAGCCCTTCTCGTAGGCAGATTGGTCGCAGTAGTGTGTCTTAAGGAAATACAAACCAGGTACGTAGTACCGAGCTTGATTTATAAGGAGAGCAGACGTAAACAGGAAGGGCGATATCTCTCTTTTCTTTGTTGGATATCAAACCGACTCAAATAACTCTCAGAATAAGACTTGAGAAGAGTGGAAACCATGAGTAGATGGATTCTGCAGCCCCTGGAGATTTCAAGTGGGTAGGCGCCTTGTACCGACAGGGGGTTTGCGACCCCATGAGCTGTGGTTCGCCAGCGCTATCACACGGCTCAGCGAGGCCCAGTTGAACATCCATGACTGATAGAAAGAGAACGCCCTGCAGCATCGTCGGGTTACACAGGCACCGAGCCCCGCAAGGCTCTGAGCACTCTGCGTCAAATCCTTCTTGGTTGAGAGAAATAAATGGAAGCGGCTGAAGGCGACTTGTAAAAAGGGGCAAAGAAAAAAAGTCAAGGATGAAACAAGAGAAAAAGGAGGAGACAAAGAGAAAAATAGGCGCGAGAAGGGGATGTTGAAATTCAAGACACGAGCTCCCTACATCACGTCTCCTTCTGTATCCGAGCTGCCCGAAAACCAATCCAGCCCCCTTCTGTAAGCCACAGGAGAGAATCGTCTGAAATCAAGATCAGACAACCCTTGACCCTCTCTATTCATCGCATGTGTTTGTGAAAAGAACAAAGTATTCTGTGTCCGTCATAACTCATCAGAACCGACATGAGACCAAAGAAAACCCCAGCGCATCAGAAGGAGCGAGGGAAGTATCAACGGAAGCAAAGTCGCCACCAGGTTCCCATCGGGACTCCGCTCTCCTCCCTGAATGAAACTCAAAGGCTGGATGGCCCTACAGGAGGCTTATGAAGTCCGACGTCTGCCTCGGCGGCCATGCTGCCAGCGTCATCTTTGATGGTGAACTCTCCGTTGACGATCTTATCGCAGAACTCGTTCCACCTCTCCTCCCATGCTTTGCGAACCTCTTGCATCAGCTCGGGCTCCATGCAGGAGTGCTCGATGCTCCACTCGGCCAGCTGGCGAAGGCCGTGGAGCGTCATGTCGGATTTGCCGGCCATGATTTGGTAGAAGTCGTGTGAGAGGCGGGATCTGTGGGTAGAAGGAGCATGGTAAGCAACCAAGCCAGTATCAGGTCAGAAGAGGGCGATATGAACGCACCGAAACAGAGTTCCGTTATCCGTGCTGATGGTGCATGGCACATTGTTCGCCAAGAGGCTATATGCAGAATGGCCGCTGATCCGCGGCGTGAGGCCGAGGATTTCGTTGGAGATGGGGCAGACCTCGACGCAGACGTTGCGCTGTTTCATCTTGGCCATGACATACGGGTGACGCGGCAGGGCGAATCCGTGACCGATGCGCTTGGCTCCGAGTAATAAGGCGTCCATCAAATTCCCGTCGGTGTCGGTGCCAATGTCGAGCGTCTCGCCGCAGTGGAACAGAAATGGGATCTCCGTGTTGGCGGCCTTGCAGAGCGCTTGAAATTGAAGGAATTGCTTTCTAAAGAATTTCAGCGGTTTGCCTTCGCCCTCTTCCCCGACTAGGTCAAAACCTGTACGTGATCAGTGTCCGAACTAGGGGGTTCTGGATATGTCCAGCTTACCAGCAATGTACTTCGAAAACCTCTTATCCATCTTAAACTGGAAGCACTGTAACAGGGCCTCTCTGACTTGCTTCTCGTCGAAGGAGCGAGGTGTGCAGTAGATGACTTTGAGCCCCTTCACAACGTCCCGTTTGTGGCCCTTCTTGCCATTTTCGCCGTCCTCGCCATTCTCGCCATTCTGGAACTTCTCGTATTCCTCGATGATCAGGCGCATAATGCCGACGTTGTCTATTCGGTAGGAGCCGTCGTCCTTCCAGACTTGGTTTGATGACATGAAATTAGGCCTGATTTCGGCATACTGGATGTTTTCGGCAGCAAACTCCTTTAGACATTGCTGCGTGTACTTTCGATATGCTGTCTCGTAGTTGAAGAGGCCTTTCATCATCTGCGTCCTTGCGTTGAACTTTTCCCATGCACTGGAGTCATCGTCAGTGCGACCGAGCAGAGGGAGATCGGGAATACGCCACGAAGCAGACTAACCCTGTTTGTGTCTGTAGCAAGTTGTGGGCTTCCTCCTCCTGAAATACCAGCTTCCTTTGCAGCCAGTCAAGGGCCGCCTCCTCTTCCCCGGGATACGCCTTGAGGAACTGCTTGAACTGCATCACCTGGCCCTTTCCATACGTGGCGTCAAACGGATTCCCTCTTCCCCTTTCCTTCACTGCAGCCTCGTTCATTATGCTAAACTGTATTCTGCAGAGATGGAAGGCCTCAGCATGGACCAAGGGGGTGTCGCTCCAGATAAACATGCGCTCCTGGTCCTTTGCGATGCCCAGCAGGAAGCTGGGCACTAAGTTGGCATTAAAATGAATGTGCAGGTGGGCACCCTTGGGCATGGCCTGGCACAGGGCGAATAGCTGCGTCTGCTCGATGAGGTCGACGTTAGAGAGGAAGTGGTCGCCATAGAAGCGTTTGTGCTTCTGGCCGCCATAGCCGGTTCTCTCGGTGTCACGTTTGTTGTAGAAGCGCGCAATGTCGTTCTTCTTGAGATGTTGCAGCACCTCGTTGGCGGCGATCTCAGTTTTGCTTGCCTTCTTGGTGCAGGCATAGTCAAAACCCAGTGAGCCTTCGTGGAGGGTGCCTCGTTGGCGCAGGATATCGTATTCCTTCACCTTGTCTTCGGAATACGACACGAGCTTGCCATCCAACTCCCCAGAGAGCTCAAAGGGAGTTTCCAGTGAGACTTGGCATTTCCCCAGGACGTCCCGAAGATCGCAAAGGAAGTGCTCTGGAACCTCGAGGACTTTGTCAATGGCCGGATCGTCCTGTTTCGGCTGTTCCGGCACAACCTTGCTCCCGTCCTTTCCGGCATCCCCCCCTGGCACCTCGGGTGTCTTATCCGTGTGCGGAACAGCCATGACATCGTCCTGCTGTGGCAGTTCAGGTTCATATTGACCCATGTCCTCCACGAAAGCACTCCCTTGAACCTCGACGGGCATGCCAGTGGGTGGGGCAACGATGGTTCCGTCCTGCTTTGGCTGTTCGGACTCAACCTGGGCCCGTTCCTCCACGACACCATCCCCGACGACGAGCTTCTTGGCAAGCTGTTCGTTTTTCTCAAAAGGGCTGCTGCGGAACCGGTTAGCAATGAGCTGGAGCAGGCGGCGTCGGCGGGTTAGCTTGACAATGTCCGAGAGCGTTTGTTGGGGCTCTTCCGAAATTTTCTGAACATTTTGGTCGGAGTCAGCCGCATCCAGGCTGTTGGATCTGCCCATGTCTCGGCGAATGAGCCCTTCCACAGATTGCCGCGTGTGGCAGCTATCCGAGTAACGGCGGATGAAGTGATTTGAGAGAAAGGGCGATTGACGATGTAATTTTTACGGCGGACACGGGGCGAGCATTCAACGAGCAACAGCGCGCGTAGGTTCTCAGCATGAGGAATGACAGTTGGCGGCACAGTCAAGTCGCTGGGCCCGGGTAAGATTGCGAGGGTCATCCGATCCAGTTCGAGACGGTATCACGGGGATGGCGTTGAGTGCAAAGTTATTATGGGTTGGGTTCCTGTTGGCATGTCGTGCCTGACGGTGGCTTCATTTAGCCTTCAGACGTCGATGAACTGAGGCGACCTAGGCAATCTCGCATGGGAGCTGCGGCGCCAGAGGCTGCAGCTGTTGGTGTATCGTGGTTCTCATTCCGGCGTGACACTGCGCCGGCACCCTGCAAGGCCAACTCCGACCTTGTGGCTTGGCAGTCCAAAGGAAACGTACGGGCTGATTGGCTCCATTTTTTGTCCGTGCGCTGCCCCTGAGTAACTGCAAACATGGGATGGCCCACTTTTCCTTATAAGGCTGACTCGCGGTTCAACTTCCTTTGAACCGGCACAATGCATCTCATGAGGCGGGTCATAATGATCTGAGGCAGGTTTGCAGATCCTCTACAGTGGTGTCAACGTCGATGGACTATCCTCACTTTTTGCCTTACACGGAGCCCTCGGATGTCACGGCTGATTGATGACGGGAGCCTCAATTTATCACTTTGGCTGCTCGACCTCCTCGTCAGGGCCGAAGACACAAATCCCACAAATCCAATTCGATAGCGTGTACTAGCAGCATGAGTTCTCCCCAGGATTGCGAGATCAGAAAACAGGGTGCATCTTTTACTCAGGGTACATGCGGCGCTTAATGCCCGGGAGGGATGAAATTTCATAACCTTAAGACTTTCCTGTCGCTGTCGAAGGCTTTGCTAGCCCCGAACTGTCGCGCAACAATACCTTAGTAAGTGGCAGTTGACTGCGCCTTCTCCCGTCAAGAACAGAAATGCATTTGCGATCGGGCGCAGAGATCAGCGCAGGTGCGAGCCTTTCTGTGCATGTGCCAGTCGACATGATGAGACGTATCATCTGTTAGCGCAGGCCAAAAACAAGTATCTAAAAATCTTCCCCTCGACTACCCCTCCTAACAGGAGGTTCACTGGCAGATGGGCTGCATCATCGAAATTCTCAAAAGGGGCAGTCACCTGGGGTCAGTAAACTTTAGACAACCGTCAGTGTGGACGATACTAGACCCGGAGTCCGAGTCTCCTACTACAGATTTCTGGATCAGCTTGGAAGAACTCGAGGAAACGAGTCTTTCAAATGTCAACGACGTTGACTGGCATTTGCTTCTCAGCCATCGAATTTTGACTCCAGATTCCTGCTCTCACAGCCGACATTCCACTGCCAGTCACCTTGAGCGCTCGATGTTTCTGGCTCTAGATGCACCTGTGAATGCTCGAATCTGCCTTGCCGAGTACCAGAGCATGCTTCGCCAACAACGTGGTCTTTGTCTCTCCACGCAGACGGGGAACACAAGGACCTTGCATACGTATCCTTGAATGTTGGGGCCGAGCGTCGACCACAGGCAACGAACACATGAAACGCAACGAAGAACTTGCCAGCTTCGAGGCTGCCCTGGCCTTAAGTTCGGGGTCCATCTGTTGTTGACCGTCCGTGATAGATTACACAGGGAGTGGGACAATTCCAAGAAGCCCAAGCGAACAACCGCATGTGTCTAGAACCAGCGAGTACGGTAACCTGGAGACGGCGTGACGGCGCCCAGCATCTTTGGATGAGGCCCTGTCATGTGACATTCGACTCCGAGATGAATTCTGGATTCTGCCAAGGGGCCTTATGAAGCAAGACAAATCAAATTCATCCTCCCTCTCACCAACGTTCATCACACCTCTTCATTGGGGCGCCTGGATGTTCCTACCCGAGGACTCTGTGGATGAGACGGGAGACTATTCGCCCTAGTTGATGGGAAATCGACTTGGAATTTTCCAAGTCTTCTCTCTAACCTCTTCCCCAAAAACTCCAACGGGAGATCCACAAAAAACGCAGAAGAGTCGCAGTAGTGGTGTACTGCAACCAGCTACTAGCTGACTGATGTACCGTTGCATCCTAAGTTTGCCCTGAGGACAATCTGCCTAGGCTGTGACAGTCAGCTTCTAACACGGCCTCACAGAATCGTGGTGGAACGAGGCCATAGCCCGGCGCACATACGGAAATCCGGCATTTTTGAAATTATAGTTTGACTCCATTCAGGTTGGCAGGTTGCCTATGTGCCAACGGTAGCGTTTACCCGATCAGCACGCCTTTTTCATCGTAATGACTGCCTGTGTAATGACCTAGTCAGGATACCACAAGTCCATGATCCCGGGTGTACGATGAGCCTAGCCGTTGGACTAGGAGTCAACGGACGGTGGGATGCTGTGGATCCTGCAGGGCACTTGTGTGATTCAAAATTTGAAAACCCGGAGGGGTTCAAGTTGGATCACATCGTATTTCAGCTGGACCGGTGGCTATGTTCGACCATGTCGCAACGGCTAACTACAAGGCACTTGCCCCGTCAAGGTTTGTGAGATACCTTGGTTGGATACTCTTACTTCTGGCATTCGAAACTTCGATGAGATACTCGAATCCAGCAATATAAAGTTGGCAAGATGCCTTCCATTCTCCGATCGTCGGCTGGTTGTAGAAAATAATAACCACGGTCTGGACATTGGAGTGTTGCAAATATCGTAGTTTGAAGTCTTGATGTGGACGAACAAGAGCAACACGCTCCATCAAGCAAAACAAAACGGATCACCTTGAAGCGGAGGCACCATCTCTCAAGAATCTACACCCCGCTTGGACGGCACAGCAGAAATGCCGTGCATAACCTGATTTCACCTGCCTGAGACTCCTTGCTATCCATGTCTAACCAGGCCATCAGAGCCTCTCTAAGCCGGCCACAAACTGCGACAAACACCATTTTCGCCGTATGATAACGCTCAACCGCGCTTCCGAAAACCACACTGTGAATTAGAACTATACCCGACGCCTCAGTCGTCAAACTTAATGCCGCCCACAGCAGAGGTATCAATGCGCCCACCGCGGTAGCTGCCCTTCTTCTTCTTGTTCTTCTCCTTGGTGAAACCCTTGCCACGCGTGACAACTAGGTCCTCGTGGGCCTTGCGGCCCCAGTCATGACCCTGGAAGGCGTTGGACGCGAACTTGGGGTCGACCTGGATGTTGCGGTTGATGCGCGAGAAAGGCTGATTGACAGTCTTGCCGTTGCCATTCTTGCCGCGGTTGTTGGCTTTGACCGTGTCCGGGTCAGGCGGGAGAGGGGCGAACTTGTCGACGGGATAGAGCTTAGGGGACGCGCTCTTGCCAAGGGTGGCCGAGCTGTCCGAACCGGTTGTCGCGGGCGAGCCAGACTGGGCGCTCTTCTTCTTGGTTTTTTCTTCGGACTCAGAGTCGGAAGAAGATTCGGAAGACGAAGAGTCGCTGGACGAGTCCGTGTCCGACTCGGACTCGGGGAGCGGGACCTTAGCCGCTTCCTCGGCTTCGTCTTCCGACTCGGACTCGGACTCGGACTCGGAGGAAGATGAATCCGACTCCGACTCTGACGCGGAAGACGAGGAATCAGAGGACGAGCCGTCCCCGGTTGTCTCTTTCTTTGTAGCGAGCGACTCCTTGTTCACAGGCTTAGACTCGGATTCGGACTCGGAGGACTCAGAAGAGGAATTAGAGGACGACTCCGAAGAGGACTCTGATGATGATTCGGAAGACGACTCGGACTTGACGGGGGCAGCAGCGACCTTCTGCTTCTTGGCAGCAGGCGCTTCCTCCTCCAAGCTGGAATCAGAGTCGGAGTCGGACGAGTCACTGCTCTCGGAAGCTGCCTTGCGCTTCAAGGGATTGACTGCAGGCCTCGACGCAGCAGTCGGCTTGGCGGTCTCCTTCTCGTCCTCGCTCTCGCTCTCACTGTCGCTGCTGTCACTCTCACTGCTGCTGCTGCTGCTGCTGCTGCTGCTGGACTCGGAGCTTGGGGAGCCGTCCTTTGAAACGTCCTTCATTTCGACGTCGCCCTCGCTGTCGGACGACTCGGACTCGCTGCTGCTGCTGCTGCTGACCTTGATGACTTGCTCGGCGACGGCTTTGAGGCCCTGCTCAGTGCCTGCATCGTTCAGCGATGTCTCCCAGGTTCGGAACACAGTGACAAGAGAGGCATGATTTGCGGGGTCGGATTTATCGCCCCTTTTCCAGCCCTTTTTCGCGCGTTGCTTTGTGAATGCGGAGTGGGCTTCGGAGAAGCCATGTTCGGAGAGGAACGATTCGACCATATCCATAAGCTGCAGGGGCGGCTGTGTAACCGAGTCGGACTCCTCGACCGCGGGCGACTTCTTCTGCGACCGGCCGGCCTTTAATTTCTTGCTGCCCGGCATCGTGGAATTGGTATTGGGGGAAGTGCTCGGCTTCGTCGTAGTTGGTGCTGGGTTAGAGAAAAGCCACGCTGGGGGCGCCGACATGGGCGAGAGCTGCTGTGTAAACCCAAGGAAAATCACCTGGCCCCAACGCCTATAGAACAAAGTGAAGGGTAAGAAAAAGTGACGCTCTCGAGTAGTTGTGTGCCCGTGGTCACTCGGGGAAAAATCTTAAGAGTCTTTTGGCTTTGAGTTCGAGTTCACACCGCCCTTTTTTTTTCTTGGTTTTCTGCCATGGCTTGCTGTAACGCGCCGAGCGGGTCCCACACGGTCCTGGCATGTGTGGGGAAGGGAGCAACAGCTCATCTCAGCTCAACTTCCATCTGAAGTAGGCTATGTACCTCCGTACCCAACAAAGAGACATCTCGCGGTATCCCACCCACAAAGGGAATTCATTGTTCACTCATTATGCGGGTGAGAATATTACGTGCCGATACAATGGCTTATATGGGCACTTCCCACTGGTCTTAACCGATCAGGCTTCTGGTGTCTGGTCCACTCGTGTGAATTTTTGCGCGAGGTGTGCATTTGATCACAGTTGGTAATGCGTCACGACTTGCGCTGCCACTACTCGGTCCAATTCCCCCTTTCATTTAGCATGTGTTCTTGGGTACTATTCAACCCTGCCTTATGATATCTCCCAACTGATCCAGAAGTTGAAGCCTATCCACAGATTCCACACATGTGGATCCTGGTTCTTCGCTCGCCGTTCTTGAAAGTCTTAACCTTCCAGCCTTCGTGGCAGCCACCTCTCTCCCACACCTCTCCCAGACCTCCATGCCTGTTAATATCGTACTTCCAAGCATCAACAATCCCACCTTCCCTGGGGATAATGGCACCCAGCCGACCACCGACCCGGGAACAGCCAGGTCCATCACATCTGCTGCTAACCTCCTCCAGACCTTCTGCCTTCTTCGCCTGTCCCCGTTGCGTTTCTCACCGGCCCTCCCTTCGCCCTTGCCCAGCTTTGCAAGAGCACACAGGATCCCACAAACCAGCCCCAAAAACCAAAACCTCTGCCCATCCAGCACCACTGCCCTGACCTGCTCCTGCGAGCCCAACAGCCCTAACCCAGGTATATCCACCGCAACATCAACAAAAGTCAAGCTCTCTAGGAGGAGATAGATGCTCGTGAAGGCCTTGCTGCCAAAGTCCATCCATCTTTCCACCAATCCGAGAACCTCTGGCCGCGTATTACTAGGAAGAGGAGAGGAAAAGATGGACCAGGCGCAGGAAAAGGAGTCGAGGAAGCGGAAGAGTCGGAAGGGTTGGCGGAGGGCCGAGAGGCGTTTCCGGAGGTGGGCCAGGGTTGCCGGGCTGAGGGAGACGAAGAGCAGGAGGTGGCGGAGGCCGGGGAAGAAGAGGATGATGGCTGTGAGGGACTGGAGGCCGCGGAGGAGGCGTTCGAGGCCGTCTTTTGCGGGCGTGTCAGTTCCGTTTGTTTATTTGGTCAGGTGGGTGCAGGTGATAGTTCATGGAGAAGGGTGAGACGGGGGGTGATGGTTTATGGAGGGCGGTGTTTTATGAATTGGAAAGCGCAAGGGATTATGAAAGTCATCAGTAGACCAAACGTCCAGACAACAACTACTAGGCGACATGTCTGTGGACGACTTCAAAAGACCCTCACTTACAAGCATCAGTCCCAAATCTGACGAACTGCTCAAACGTGCTGACCCCGTCTGCCATGTTGATGAGGCGGCCTTCCAAAACAGGGCGCCAACACAAATAACGGGCGAATCTGCTTTTTCCAGACAGGGTTCTTGGTTTGCAAAGATGGGAGGCTGCTTGGCGTGAACTTCCCGCCCTGCCCTGTTCTAGTTGATTACAAAATGAAGTGAGAATTTGGACGTTAAAGTCCTTTTCGTTTTGGCTCTCAGCAGCTTGCAGTTACCCCTTGGCGCCCCACTTATGTTGTCCTCCTGCCGACCCCTGAGTTGATGAACAAAGCGAGGACAAAGCGAGGCATGATCCAATGCCATAGAGATTGAAGAGTCAGAGCACCTTTGTTGTGGGCTGTCGATGTTTCGATAGTTTAGCGTAGCAAGCTACGCGTCGTCTTGGACACATGTCTCCATGACCCCTCGCCTTGTCGAACCATTTCACTGCAATGCCTCCGACCTCCAAGTTGAAGCCCAGAATCAGTAGACGTTATCTCTCACTTCAACACCATCCACCCAAGGCCCAGCCAGGCATGGCCAGGGGTGAATTTTGGACCAACGTCCAGATATCTCCGAGAAGTTCTTCCACGTCGGGATCCCACTCCCAGCCCAGGGTCCAGTCTTCAGGTCGCGGGCCAAATGTAAAGCCTCTCCATTTCACACCGCCCCTTGCCAAGTTTTGATTTCCGTAGGCCACCAAGTCCTTGCCGCCTGACTGTATGTCCTGTAACCAGCTTCTGACCAACTCCCCGAAATTCCGCCTCCAAAGCCGATACCGCCTTGCATTATACGCTGCCTGGCTTATCGACCAAAAGCCCGTTATCTTTTTCGCCGACGCCAGGATCGCATCGAGCAAACATGTTCTTTCAGTTCGTAGGCTTATGGCACAGATGTCTCCATGGCTGGCGGGGAGGGCAATGTTTCGGAGAAGAATTCGAACCTCACGCGATCGGTGCTACTCCCAAGCTGCCCACCTCTGAAGCATTGTACCCTGGAACTGGCCAACTCTGAACCCTGGTAGGACCGCGCGGAAGTAGAGGTCAGCAATCCGTTGGAGGAGAGTTGGTCCGGGTAAACCTAGTCCTGTTGTATCTATCAAGTGGCCGAGATCGCTCGGGCACAAGCCACCAACGGGGCGGAAAATCTTGCTGACAACTCTGTGATCCAGCATGTCGTGGTGATGGCAACTGAAAATCTGCAGCGGCTGTTCAGGGGCCACTCTTAGAAATCCGGGAAGACACTGGCCAGAAATAGGTCGAAAATTTCAGCATTCCCCATCATCCGAGCCCGCACCCAGTTCTCTTCCCATGTCGCTACCTCGTCAAGAGTCCGTGGGAAGCCAAAGATCGGATAAGCGCCAGATAATTAGTTTCGAAACGGCTGCTCAATGCATAGGCGGGTTGCCCCCGCACATCTTCGAGCTTGATATCGAGACCCATGCGTAACTGGGCTCAACAAAGTCAGGTCGCATCATGACTGCATACTGAAGTGGAGGAACCCGTCAGCACCCTGGACTCAGTTCGACGGGCGGATGGCATACGTGAAGGAGGCTGTAACATGTCGACTGTTCGATGATAAAGGAAGTCGCGATTCGTTTGTGGGACAGCTCGAGCAACGCCTCCACGGTTTCACAACGCACTACCTTATGCATTTGGGACCTCGCCGGCACGACGACGTATTCTCGGAAGGTGGTTTTCCATCCAGAGTATGTCAGCTCAAACTCGATATCCCAGATCTTGTTCCACAACCACCGTGGAGGTCCCACTTGAAATCGGTACACTAGACTTGGATTAACACCTTCCTCGGGGTTTGGAACGTGATCATACTTACTTGAAACTGACTGAGCAGTACCACCCCTACCTAGCTGTCCCACCGTCTCGCAAAAGCTGAGAGAGTAAAGAAGCACCAAGAAAACGTATGGGAATACTTTCGTCGGCCGTTCAAGACTCGTGTTCTCCGAATACATTTACGTCCAGACGACGGAGACCCCTCAAGCTCAGTCTCCTCGTCCCTTCGCTTTTGGCCGCTCGCCTCGCTCGCGGTCATCTTAACGACACCGTTGGAAGTCAGACTCTCGGTAACCTTGGCAGCTATCAGATTGGGCTGTCGTTTCAGAGAGGATCTAACCACGACCCATGTTAGAACAAAGCGACCCTGCAAAGAGCTTCCCACTTACGCCGTCTGCACCTGGACGGCCAAGTCCAAGAAACGCAGTACCCTCTGCAAGCGCCGTTCGTAGCTCTCAAGCGTGTCTTTCTTGAAGACAACTTTCACCTCAGCAAACAGCCTTTTCCGCCTTCCAGACGAGGCAATATCTGCGCGACGATCGTCGACAAGGTTAACCAATCCTTCTGTGCTTGCCTACGGCGGTGGATGGCCAGACAGTGAGGGCTGGCCAAGGAGGCGTTCGAAGTCGACTCGTAAAGTGGCAGCTCGGTTTCGATGGCGTCGACCATTCTTCCACAAATCTCGGAATCCCCGAGGATCTGGCGTATAGTCTCTGGGACGTCTCGCACCTCCTTCCACAGCCGGGTCAAGGAGACTA